TATATATATATATATATATATATATATATATATATATGTATGCAATATAACGCGGGATGTTGCCGCGATTGTGTCTACAATTCTTGACGGATTTAGATGAAATTTGTTATACACATTCTTTGGATAATAACCTTGAATGAGTTCGAAGATGAGCGAAATCCTTCAATAAGTTTAGAAATGGCAGCTCTTTAAAATTATCAAAATAGTGAAAATCACGTTTTCGGTGACTTTATTGATGTATAACTTTTGATTGAAAAGAGATGGCTAATTTTTGATAAATTTATGTGAAAGGTCATGAAATTACTTTTAATTTGGTGTATATAACATTGACATTTTGACCATTTTTAGTTATTTTATCAAAGTTAAGAGTTCTATTGAAGCATTTTCAGGCAATGTGTAGTACAACGGACTTATGAATGTTATTCTGTCGAGAATTCTCAACAGATCCTTATGAAATTTAGTACAGAGATTCCTAGGATAATTAGCTTGTATGAGCCCTAAAATCAGCGGTATACTTCGATTGGTTCAGAAATAATAGCTCTTCAAAATGATCAAAATAGTAAAAATTACGTTTTTGACGACTTCATTTATGCATAACTTTTAATCGCAAAAAGATAGCTGATTTTTGATAAATTCATGTGAAAGCTTATAAAATTCCTTCTAATTTGACGTATATAACGTTAACTTGTTGACAATTATTAGTTATTTTATCGAAGTTAAAAGTTCAATTGAACCATTTTCAGGCAATGTGTAATACAACCTACTTATGTATATATGTTAAAATAAATTTAATTCCATGTCAAACGAAAGTTATTGAGACAAGATGATGATTAATTCTATGAAATCTACCTTCCATTTCGGTGTGGCCGAATCGCGTCTTTTTATTTTTAAATTAAATATCTAGACCTACAAACCTTCAGAAATTTTATCCATGCATTTAGGCGCATTGGCTTCAAAGTACTTCTTGAAAGGACATTCTCGTTTTTGGATTGATTTAGCGTCCGCCTAAATAAAAAAAACCACAAAAATAGATTTTTAAGTTAATTATTAAAATGAAAAAAAAGCCTTACAAAAACGAGCACTGCGAGCAAAACTCCAACTGATATGATCGTATAGCTTTTCATTTTAAAAATAATTCTCAGCTAATAATAAAATTGTACTGATACTGATAAGTTACGTTAGCTCTTGTATTTATATTGCAAAAATTGATGATAAATTACAGTGTGTAGATGACGTACAAAGGAAGTCTATTCATTTTGATCTTAATAATGATCAACTATTAATTTAATTACACTGTTATGCATTCATTTTTATTTGTTGCATTGTCATGCTTGTAATGATTTTTAAAATTACGTCAAATATTCAATGGGTACATTGAGTATTAACGAGTTTTAAATTACTCTATATATTTATCAATTAATTAATTGAAAAATTTATTTGACAGACTCATCCGACACAAACAGCATTTTTATCCAGTGTAGATCTTCACACGCATTGCGCCTATCAACTTATGATGTCCGAAGCGATTGCAATTGTTTGCGCGCCTAAATATGAAGAGTAAGTCCTGATTAATTAATTCATTTATTAAAACTCATCAAGACCTTTCATTTGAGTACCCACATCAATTTTTCATATATTTTATATATTTATATATATATCACATATATGTATATATGAAAAATATATCAAAATGCATGTGGGTACTCAAATGAAAGCTCTCGATGAGTGTAACATCGAAATGAGTTTATATCCTAAAAAATGTCATTAATTAAGAAATCACATTGTATTTTGTCAATTAATGATATTTTTAAAGTTATAAGCTCACCCTGACATTACTCTCATCGAGACCTTTCATTTGAATACCCACATCAATTTTTCATATATTTTATATATTTATATATTTCACAAATACCATGTATATAAAATATATAAAAAATGTCATGTGGGTACTTAAATGAAAGCTCTTGATGAGTGTAACATCAGGATGAGCTTATATCTTCAAAAACGTCAATATTTAAGAAAGTACAGTGCAATTTAACAAAATTCATCATTTTATAAAGCAAAATATTTTTTTTTTTTATTTAATTAACAGGACTGGATACTTTACTCTGACTGAGCACGGATTAAATTTCATATCGCGGTGTCGCGAGTCTGGATTTCATCCTCATCCTAACGAAAAGTCGCTTTATACGGTAATTATTTATTTAATAAAAAAAATATATTTTTCTATTAATAATTATAATTATTTTTATATTTACAGCACGCACAGCACTGTAAATTTGAATCAACGGCTGACGTTAAAGTCATTGATCTACGCGCTAAATAATCAATTAATTATATTAATATTAATATAAGTAGAAATCCAAAGCTTTAACATTTTTATCTTCATTCCACGGTAGATTATTATTATTATTATTATTATTATTATTATTATTATTATTATTATTATTATTATTATTA